TCCTGCACACCTCATAATAGGGATCGAACCTGCAACCTGGGCATGTGCCCTGACCTGGAATCAAACCATGGCCTCCTGGTTCATAGGTCAATGGTCAACCATTGAGTCATACCAGCTGGACAGGTTAGCTTTATTTTTAAAGGTTATTAAAGAGGAATCAGGACCAGGATGGTCTGCAATGTGTAAACCATTTGCTTCTAAGTGTCTTTGGTTAGGGGAGATAAAACCTTGTGACTCATTAGCTGGCTGTAAATTGCTCAAATTGTTTGGCCTTGTTTAATTATTTCATCTGTTCCTTTATTCCACTTGTCAAGAAATTTGCCTGGCTTCTTACTATCCTGCCACTTTCATCAGAATGCCTCTAGCCTTTTCACATCCAAACTCATCATAAAGATGTTTCTCTGTATCAGCACTATGACTGCCATTCAAAGCCAAGATGTCTCCATGTTTGTTTATTTTTTGCTTCACAGACTTACTTCTAAGCACCTGTGCTGTGGGGAAGGGGAGAAACACAAGGCCCAAGGAGAGCCTGGCCTCTCTGTGTGATAGTTACCTCACCTGGGTGGGATGCATCTATGGGTCTGTAAAATGAATGACCGGCACCATTTGTCCACTAAGATCCTTCTGTGCTACAAGCCATGATAATGCCCCAAATGAGATTACAGGATTTTAGTCTTCTGGAATCTAAAAACCCAGAAAAGTCAGAGGTTTGGATGAATGGAACAGAATATCAGATCTCAGGGGTGGGGGCAGTGGAAGGGGACAGGAAGAGATTAACCAAAGAACATATATGCATAATCTATGGACACGGGCAATAGTATAGGGTCGGGGCTGGTTGAAGGGGAGCAAAAAGGGAGAAAATGGGAGACATCTGCAATACTGTCAACAATAAAAAAAGGAAAAGTCAGAATACTCCTCTCACTTGCTGTGTAGATTGTATCATAAGCTAAATTAAGTGTTAATGGAAACTAGAGAATAATCCTGCAATAAAAGGAGGCTCTCATGCCAGCCTGTGGCTCAGTGTGTGTGGAGAAGTTAAGTGGGCTGCGGGCAGCTCTCTAAGCATAATGGGGAGCGTACGAACCACAACCAGGGCTTTCTGCATTTCTTTCTCAGTGGGAAAAATACCCCTGCTCTCTGAACTGGACGGACAGTTCTATAATAGAGTCTATTTGAGAAAAGGTAGGACGAAATGTGTGACAACATATCAAAACTGACATATAAATACAGCATTTGAATGGAGAGACAATTCACAGCATTTTATTCGTTAATCCATTTCATTCAATAATGCACCATATTGTTCCCAGCACCCTTAATACTACTGTCATTATTTCCTTTGGAGAGGACCATGCTTCTACAAATAACTTTCCAGAAAACAGAAAGGTGGAGTAAACACGCCATCCTCAGACAAGAGTGAGGCTGGATGTCAGCGCAGGGAAAGGGTTGGAGATCTCCTTTAAGTTTGCTTTTGGCGTTTTGGTCTGTAAGCGATCAAGATGGAGAGGGAGGCTATTCCAAAGAGGAACGTCTGCAGGAACCAGAGCAGTTGAGCCTGACCATTCGTGATGCCTTTAGACCTTAAAAGAAGAAGAAACAATTTTAATATTATGGTTTCATAGTTATTATCTTCTATTTTTTAAAAATGTACTCTTCTATCTACTTTCATTGGGTTTATCTTGCCCTTCCTTCCAGCTTCTTACCTCGAATGGTTAGTTCATTTATTTTCATTTTCCTTGTGCAGTTAGGATGGTACACTCTTCCCTGAGAAGCAGCCTGGCTACTGCCTAGAGCTGTATCATAAAACTGTTTCTCACATGATTTTGATGAGTGGATGGGTTAAACAGCACTGCGATGGCTTCAGAGCAAGTGTGTACCCAAGAATTATTATTTTTATTATTAAAACACAGTAGTAATATAGTACCACATTTTCCACTTTTAGAAATAATACAGCAATAATAAAGGCGACTGTTAATCTTGACTAGAAAGAAAATAAACTGCAAAGCAATTTGGCATCACTATAACCACCTCTTTCATTACACCATCCTTTCTGTATATGCTACATGAAGTACAAATGTAAAGAGAATCTTTTCTAGTACTTTCACACAGTAGTAGCCTACACTGGCATCCACTGAGTGATGTTTAATCCAGGGGCTTTTAGCTTGCATTGCACCCCAGAATTATTTGTGGGGCTTGTAAAAATAACATTCCCAGGTCTGAAGCAAGGCTGAGCAAACCGGGATCTTGTGGGTCTGGAAACCAGGCTTGTGTATTTTGAAAAAGCTCCTCAGGTGACTCAGCTGTAAAACTAGGACTGAGAATCATCAGCCCTGGTCAGGGGCTAAGCTCCTTTTCAGGGGATCATACACAGACATTTCTATAAAAAAATAAGAAAAATCATCTAAATTAAGTAACTAAATAACTGATTAGCTATCACAAATGAAATAAATTCATTCATTAAATATTTATTGAGTACTCCCTCTGGGCTAGGCCCAGTATTAGGTGTGGGGATTCAACTCTACCCAGAGAATGCTCTCAGTCTACAAGTCCATGAATTATTTAAATGTGGCTCCTCTCAAATTAGACACCAACGGCAAAGCAACAAATACCTACTACACACACTTACTTGCACAATACCATGGCATACAAGGACTCTCCCACGTGAATCAGCCAGGCAAGCCAGTACCTGGAACAGAAGTCAGCCAGGTTTAAGGTGATGGTTATCTGCTGAAGAAATCTAACCCAGAAACCTTCATAAAAAACAAGTGCTTTACTGTGAACTAGCACCAGTCAGATATCTAAAGGCCACTGCAGGCCTCCCAGTCTACAGTGGGACTAGCACTGCAGTGTCCGCATCCCACTTCCGCAGCCCTCCTTACCCATTGCGCAGAAGGATGTGATGATGGTCCACCAAGTACTGAGTGAAGGGGCCCAGGGGCCCGAGGCTCTGGTAAGGAATACTCTGGGGCCAGAAGACAACCCACTGAAAGAGAACCAGAGGCAAAAAATACCTATCAGGTCACTGGAACCAGCAAATGTTTATTCTCGAGAGAGGCTAGGAAATCATCCTGAATCTACAGTAAGAGCAGACGAAGGTAACTGTGAACTAAGACATCTGAGGTGCCACTCCTGACTTCTATTTTCTAAACGCTCTTCTAGTGGGAGATTTATTCTGAGGAAACTATGTGGGTATCAGACTCAGTGCTCAGGCCGGGTGGCTTCTATTCTCTTTTTTTTAAATATATTTTATTGATTTTTTTACAGAGAGAAAGGGAGAGAGATAGAGAGTTAGAAATATCGATGAGAGAGAAACATCGATCAGCTGCCTCCTGCACACCTCCTACTGGGGATGTGCCCGCAACCAAGGTACATGCCCTTGACCGGAATCGAACCTGGGACCTATCAGTCCGCAGGCTGACGCTCTATCCACTGAGCCAAACCGGTTTTGGCATATTCTTAATGAATTCCATTAAAACACGATTTTAAACAGGTTATTAACAAATTTTAAGAGTTTATGTGCCCTGACTAGTTTCTTCGCTGCAGAAACTATGGCTTGAGGCAGATCTCCATTTAATTTATAATCCCATCGTCTCCTTTCACTTTCTCTATGTCTAAAACTGGGACTGATCCACTGCACAGAATTGGAAAATAAGTGAGATCAGGTTTGTGACATGCTAATAGCAACCACTTAATCACATAAGGTTTTTGTAATCGTAACCATTTTCCCTCAGTCTCTGTGTTGTAACCTCTGTCACCTTAGGCTTTTGAGAATAATTAAGTCCCAATAGGTCCAAATTTATTTTCCCATTCATATTCAGCCAAGAGCAGTACTACCTCTCCTGTTATGTTGTTACACACCTAAAATTTAAATAAAGCATAAAACATCACTCCATTCTCCCAAACCAAGGGGAATGGGAGGGGCAGCATCTATCCACAATAACCCAATTTGAGGCCATCAAAGCTTTATCTATATTCCAACTAATCAGAGATGCAGAATCATAGGACAGAAATGCGCCTTTGAAAATTTTCAGTTCATATGGGGAAATCAGGATAAAGGTGGTCCGGTTTCACAGCACACACTGTGGACACAACAGACACACTTTTAATCTCCCATCTCCAGGATCTACCGGGCAATATCCAAATAGTTTTGCCTCCATTCAAAATTACACCAACTCAGTCCCCAACTTACTTTTCCAGAAGTTTCCCCCCGTTATCTTTTATAAACGAACTGTCAAAACAAAAATCGCCCCTCTTCTCATCAGAGATCATCTGCCTTGGTTCCACATCTACATCATAACATTTACATCCTCTCTATCCCTTTTTACCAATTAAGTGTCAACCATCCTTTAACTTTATCTCCGTTTTCTAAGCAACTTTAACTGCCCCAACATTCTGCTTCGGAAACCCTACTCTGACTTGGCAGGCCGTAAACTGGCTTCTTGGGTGAGTTCTGAGACTCCGATGAATCGTAGTAACCTTGGAGCGGAGGGAACGCAACCGCAGGAACCCTTATGAGTAGAAACAGACCTGTGACCCAATAACTTCCGCTTACTCCAGTAACCTAGGCAACCGCCCGGCGCAGGCGCAAGGGTTGTAACTTTCCAGAAAACAGAAAGGTGGATAAACACATCATCCCCAGACAAAAGTGGCTGGATGTCAGTGCAGGGAAAGGGTTGGAGATCTCCTTTAAGTTTGCTTTTGGCGTTTTGGCTTATAAGTGATCAAGATGGAAAGGGTGGCTATCGCAAAGAGGAATGTCTGCAGGAACCAGAGTAGTTGAGCCCGACTATTCGTGATGCCTTTAGACTTGCACAATACCATGGCATACAAGGACTCTCCCACGTGAATCAGCCAGGCAAGCCAGTACCCATTGTGCAGGAGGGCGTGATGATGGTCCACCAAGTACTGAGTGAAGGGGCCCAGGGGCCCGAGGCTCTGGTAAGGAATACTCTGGGGCCAGAAGACAACCCACGTGTAATAGCCAAAGGAGAGGGTGATGACCGCGAACCAGAATAGACTGCCCCTCTGGAAGTACGCCTCGTCGCCTGCCGCCTTCCCCATCGCGGCCGCTCGCCCCCGGGAGCGCTCAGGGCCCGCTCGCTCGGAGACTATCTTCCTTTTTTGTTTCCAATAAAAATAGCCTTCATGCGGGTTCGGAAACGCCAAGGGTGGCCGTTGCTGGAGTCTGGCCTGATGGCTGGCCCTCATCTGCAGGGTAGACCCCTCTCTCAGAGTCACTTTCCCGCGTTTAAGATAAAGTGTGGAACTAGGTGGTGCTTTATGTAGAAGTCTACTAACCAGGAGCCTCATATTGGAACTTCAGCTCGCGTGCCCTGTGGGAAGCAATGCTCTTCCGTTTTGTTCGATGTCTGAAACCTCAGGGCACAGCAGCTATGAGCAGGCTGTGTGGAGTAGGTTGCCTGGGTTTAAGCCGCGGCTCTGCCACTGACTTTCTGCGGAAGCTTAGACTAGTTACCTAACCCTTCTGTGCCTCCATTTAACTTCTAACTCGCCCTCTCCACAGGTGACAGGCGTGGCTAGGATTTCATCCTCCAGGATCCTGTGTCACCATCCCCATCATAACCCTCATCTCTCGCCTCGTAATCATTTAGCTCTCTCTCCTCTGGATGGATCAGTGACCTAAACATTGAAAACAATGCGGGAAATATGGAGAACAGTTTTACAACTTTTGAGCAAGTTGTTAAAATTAAAAGCCGTAGGGGGAAAGATTGAAAATGTAATGGCA